CAGCTGGTTGCTGGGTCCTGCCTTGTACTTTGTGGCTTGGGCTTGTCTTCCCTTCCAGAAGAAGTGAGTAGTTTCTTCCTATTTTTTTCCCTTTGTTCTGTAAATGGGAGGGGGTGTCAAGTAAGGAAAGGACTCTTCCATTTGAAGGAGCTGCCAGTCCCAGCTCGGTGTGCAGTGTGACTTCCATTCCCAGTGATCTTTACTCCAGATGGCAAAAAGTAGCAGGTCCTTTCTATTGCCTGCATGTGAAAGACACACATCAGTTATGTGTCTTTGTGCTTCTTCACTTGGTCTTGAATTTTTGTGATCTGTTGCAAATGAATTGCTAACAAATGAATTGATACCAAATACTTTTATAATGTGATCAAGCACATATTAAATACAGCAATATAGTTCAGTACTCCTATAAATTTAAAAGCATATTAATATACTTAATTTACAGTGGCATAGAAGGAATAAAAATTTTCAGACTGGGCTCAGGAAAAAAGAAGTATTCTCTTATTTCCTGATGCAAGACTTGATGCCCTTGTTGTTAAGGGCATTGAGTCATTGACTGGAAGCTGAGCAAAAAATGAAGTAAGAGCATTGAGAGATGGGAAGGAGAGAGAGGGAGTTGAGGGACAGTTGGGAACTGTTAGCTCGGGTGTTAGCACAAAATGCCAAGGAGATATTTGAATCCAAGTCTGCATGAGGAGAGAATGGGGCAGTGTGTGAAGAAGGGAGGCCTTCTGATGGCAACAGGCTGAAAGGTAGGGAGGAGCTGGGCATGCTAGAGGCTACTGAGCAAGTGTGCTAAGCAAGCATATGCTAGAAGATGAGATAGAAATAGGTGGACCTGGACACTATAGAGTGATGTTGGCCTTGTGTTGGGTCAAGGGTGGACCAGAGGGAGGTGTGGACTGGAGGAAGGTATTGCTGCTGCCCAGGCTGAAGATGACAGTGGTCAAATCAGAGTTATAAGGCTGGAGATACACAGGCAGGGTGAAATTCATCTATGGTCCGTGTGTTCCTTGGTGAGTATTGTGCACCAAGTACCGTTTTAGGCTCTGGAGATGTAACTGTTAACTAAATGGAAAATAACTGTTCATCCTTTTGGAGCTGCCATTTTGATGGGAGTGATCTGAGTGAGAGAGCATGAGAAAAAGACCACAGCTGGGTTCTGGAGACGATGGACTTAGTTAGGGTGGAAATGGACTGAATTAATAGACAGCTCTGTGAGGTCGAGAGTAGCCAGGTGGATATATTCCTGAGCAGTCTGAGCCAGTGACACGTGTTCCAGGGTCACCCTGAGTAAGGTTGGCACAGGAGGCCACTTGCAGGGTGCAATGTCAGAAAAGGCTAAGGACAGGAATTACCAGCTAGAGGTCAGGTATAAGAGAAGGAGTGATTACCAGTGGGCACATGGCATCTAGGAAGCCCAGTGGAGGCTGCAGTGCCACATGGTTGCTCTGCAAGGCTTTGCTGAGACCTGTTCAGTGTCACAAGACCTGTAGAGGCTCAGTCGGCGTGGAGGCAGCCAGGGATGAGGATGGTGAGAGTTGAAACCGTAGGCAAACTTTGGGCCAAATTATTATTACTTTTTTGAAGTTTTAGGACAATTTTCTTAGAATTTTAAAGAAAAATCCTCAGGGCAGTCCAGCTGGAAATCTCGGCAGCCACCTTGAGGAGGAGAATGGAGGGAAAGAGGAAAAAAGCCATAAAGCCATGCTGGTTTAGACCCTTCGTAGAGGCCAGACGCATGGCCAACTGGCAGCCGCATGGCAGGGAGAAGGAAGCTTTAGAGAAAGAGTAAAGAAATACAGGGTGCTGGGGCAGCTCAAGCGTTAGAGAAAGCATGGTTAGAAAAGGGATATGAGGGGCTGGAGAGATGGCTCAGTGGTTAAGAACACTGGTTGTTCTTGCAGAAGACCCAGGTTCTAATCCTAGCACCCACATGGCAGCTAACAACTGTCCAGTTCCAGGGGATCCGACGGTCTCTTCTGTCCTCCGGGGGCATTGCACAACACGGGTGCACTTACCTACATGCAGGCAATACACACACATAAAATAAAAATAATAAATTTTAAAAAAGAAAAGGGATATGAAAAAGAAAAGGAGAGATTATGCTTTTCTGAAGAATTTGGAAAAGGGGCAGACTTACAGAAAGCTGCATGTCTGTGGCTGGGTCCAGAAGCACTGCTCTTTGGGCCACATTTTGCTGTGGAAGGGCTGGTGTCTTGCACGGGAGACCCTTAATAATGAATAGTCTGACTTCTCTAAATCTATTTCTTCATTCTTAAGGTGATTATGTGATTGTAAGTGAGGTGTGGTTGGGAGCAAGCATCACATGATGAAACGACATGATTCGTTAGAATCTTCTAGGGTGCCTGCCCATTGCTGAGTGCTCACTTTTCCCATTTCTTTGTCATAGGGGCCTTGTTTTCTCATCAGCGAAATGAGGGGACTGAACCAAACAGGTTCATTTCTAGGTTCTCAAGCTTTAACGCACTTCTCTGCCCAATTCCTTCAGTGGCTTCAGTGTCTTGGGGAACATTTCTCCTTCCTCTTCTCTGTTCCACATTGGTTCTGTCCCTGATTAATCCCCCAAAAAGCCTCCCTTGGGCCCCTCTCACACTCTGAGCCTTAAGGGGGCCCTGTTCCTATGAGACTGTGTTTATCACCATGTGTGATCTTTCTTGAAAGGACTCTGCCAGACTCATTTCATTTGGTCCTCTGTATCCCTGACCTACTGTCTCTGTTTCTTTTCCCGTCTCTGGCCTGTGGAACATCATGTGGTTTTTAAACCCCGCCTTTGATGACACCTTGCCCCAGTCCTCCTGGGAACTGGAGTAGGCTTGCCCTGTGCACTCTATTCATTATGCCCTGTCTTGGTTGACTGTTGTTCACTTGTGAATTTTGCTATGAACTTCTTTGCATCTCTTATGGAATCATATATACAGCACCCAAATTAATGCATTACATGGGTCAGAAAACTTTACCAAATCTGAAAAACTTGGGTTGGTATTATTAACATTTAAAAAAGTTTAGTAACCAAGGCCATATTTTTGATGTGTGGTTCTAGAATTTTAAAAATAAAAAGTTCCGCCGGGCGTGGTGGTGCATGCCTTTAATCCCAGCACTTGGGAGGCAGAGGCAGGTGGATCTTTGTGAGTTCGAGGCCAGCCTGATCTACATAGTGAGTTCCAGGACAGCTGGGGCTACAGGGAGACCCTGTCTCAAAAAGACAAAAAAAAAAGAAAGAAAAAAAAAAGTTCCAGGGGCTGGAGGCATGGCTCAGTGGTTAAGAACATGTCTGCACTTGCAGAGGACAGGAGTTCAGTTCCCAGCAGTCACACTGGGCACCTCTCAACTGTAACTCCAGCTCAAGGGGATCTGACACCCTTTCTGGTCTCCTGTGTGCATACCCACAAACAGACACATAGTTTAAAATAAAGCAAACCTTAAAATTTAAAAATTAAGTTCAGTTATTAAGGCCATTTAACCAAAAGCTGTTATAGCTGCAGATGCATTGGCATAGCTATTCTACTTCTAGGGATTTATCCTAAGAAAGTACTGTTGGATATCTGGAATATTACAACGTGAACAATTGGAGATAACCTGTCTTAACAAGAGGAAATCAGTTAAGAGTAAAAGGGACTCATGGTATATATTAATAATTCAAATTTAGTCTCTCCTTTTAACATTTGAAAAATTGTATTTGATATTGTATGTGTGATGTATATCTGTGTATACTTGTGAAGGTCAGAGTTGATGCCCTTCCTCCACTGTGGGTTCCAGGGATTGAATTCAGGCTTGCTTGTCAAGTACCTTTACTCACTGAGCCATCCCACTGGCTCCTAGTTTCTCTTTTTAAAAAAAAAAATATTATTTTTATTTTATGTGTATGTGTGTATTGCCTGCATGTAGGTAAGTGCACCCATGTCGTGCAATGCCCACGGAGGACTGAAGAGGCTGTCGGATCCCCTGAGACTGGAGTTACCGACAGTTGTTAGCTGCCATGTGGGTGCTGGGATTCAAACCCAGGTCTTCCGCAAGAACAACCAGTGTTCTTAACCACTGAGCCATTTCTTCAGCCCCCTAGTTTTTCTTTAAAAAAAATGATATTATAGAAAGACTTTACTGGCTTGGAAAATGTCCACGTTAGTTAAGTGAAGGAAGTACATTTACAAACGGAATACTATTGTCTGATTTAATTTCTTGAAGTTATTTGCAGAGAAAAGATAATTGGTATAGGTAATATAAATGTTGCTTATCTGTGACAGTTGAGATACTAATGACTTTTACTATGTTTTTGCATGCTTTCCTATTTTTATAGGAAGCATGCTTTATTGATTAACAAAGTACTTTATTAAAGTTGGAATTGTATATCTCTTATTCGTAAAACCACATTTTCTATCTTTTGTTCAGTGAACTCATTTGTTTACATTATTGGAGGGCATACAGGGCCATCTGGTCCATATCAAATGTAGCAGACCCAAGTCCCTGCTTTCCAAGTCACAGTGACTGTTCTTGAGAATAGACTTCATTGCTTGGTGTCCTTTGGGCTGGGCAGGTAGTAAGTTGTTAACTTGGCTGCTGAGCTGTTTGGGCATTGTGAGATGGAACTCCACAGAAGGGGTAGGGCTGAGAAGCCTGGCAGTTGTGGATGTAGGCTAGCCTGGGTTGCATCCTGGAGTTGAGCATGTAAACCCATGTGATCTCAGGCTCAAAGCTTTAGTTTGCACTGTTAATGTAACTGACCTCTTCCCACAGGTCAGTGAAAATACATGTTGAGCAGCAACTGGGTTGATGTAAGTGCTTGAGTAACAGTAAGCAGGTGGTTACCAGGTGGGCAGCCTGCAGTCCATACCTCATTAGTCTGCAGTGAAAAACTGGGGTTTTTTTTTAAATAAAAATAGAGGTTTCCTATAAACTCACTGTATTGGGGGTTAGAAAGTAGTTTGAAGAATGATTTCTGTTTAACAGACATGTCCTGCTTGTGCCCTTTTGTCTCCCCTCAGTCTGTGGGCCTGGGATCGACATCCGCAATGACTATCAGCAGCTGAAGCGTCTGGAGAACTGCACGGTGATTGAGGGCTTCCTCCATATCCTGCTCATCTCCAAGGCTGAGGACTACCGCAGCTACCGCTTCCCCAAGCTTACAGTCATCACCGAATACTTGCTGCTGTTTCGTGTTGCCGGCCTCGAGAGCCTGGGAGATCTCTTCCCGAACCTCACGGTCATCCGTGGCTGGAAACTCTTCTACAACTACGCACTGGTCATCTTTGAGATGACCAACCTCAAGGATATTGGGCTTTATAATCTGAGGAACATTACTCGGGGGGCTATCAGGATTGAGAAAAATGCTGACCTCTGTTACCTCTCCACGGTGGACTGGTCCCTCATCTTGGATGCTGTGTCCAATAACTACATTGTGGGGAACAAGCCCCAGAAGGAGTGTGGGGACCTGTGTCCAGGGACCTTGGAGGAGAAGCCAATCTGCGAGAAGACCACCATCAATAATGAATACAACTACCGCTGTTGGACCACAAATCGCTGCCAGAAAAGTAAGAGCTCCGTGGACCACTGCTTTCTGTGTCCCACTTGCTTTCTTCTCCTCGTCTCCCTCTCCCTTCTCTTCTGCAGAGCAGGGTGAGGTCACATTTCTGATGTGGCATTCCTGATTTGTGGAGGGGTTTCCTGGGGAGTGGGGTGGGGTCTTGTTTGGCTTTCTTGTACATTTGAGAGTTCGGAGGTGCAGGACTTGTGTGTGTGGGGTCCTGGTTGGATGCCATTGTGGCTGTTGTCAAGCCTGACCAGATTACATATTAGAACTACTAATCCACTGCATTTGGGGGCTAGTAGCTCACTGACCTTCAGCTTCCCTGCAGAAAAAGGTGACCTGGTGTGCTTTGCAAGTCCCTGATGCTGGGCAAACAGGAGCTTCTTACATGTCAACTCTTGCATCCTTTATGTGAAGGGTTTTTTTCTTTTTTTTTGTATGGCAGGACTTCCTTTTCATGAATGTTAAAAATATGGTTGGGTAAAGGAAAAGTAAAGCTCTCATTCACATCCTTAGTGCTTAATGAGAACACTGACACTTAGGTATCCTGGTCTAAGATAGAACACTTGGTGGAGGCAGAAGGCCTCTGTACTGGTTTCCAGGACCCATGGCTTAGGCCCTACTTGAGACAGCTATGTAGAAGGGTGTGCTTAGAACTTTTGAGCTTGTGTTTACTTTTTTGTATACTTGTTTATAGAACAGTTGTGAAAATCTTGTGCAGACCCTTAGTGAAAGTATATTGGAAAGCATTCATTGGTTCTGGAGTCATGTGGTGGTATTTTGAAGCTTCTTGTTTATCTTATTTTCCCTGTAGAAAGCTGAACTCTTTCTCCAATGTGAT